ACGTCTCAAAATTTGCAAAGACTTTAATTCCACTTCTGTTCTAGCACGCGGCAAAGCGTCCAGGAGAACAGTGTGGTCGATCGAGGGTCTGTATGTGTCCATTTGCTGGACCAAGAATTCCAAAAACTGTTTCACGAGAACGTATAAAGCGTTGTCCATTTTCACCACTTCTGAATGAAGTGCCTTCTCGAGAATTGCGCGAAGCAGCAACGCGTTTGTCTTGTATTTTTCGGGTTGAAAGTCTGGTCCCAAAACGCTTATAAGGTCAGAACGCGTAATAAAATCTCGGATAGGCTATTAATTATATCGACATATAAATATTCGCGGTGTGTTAAACGTTTTGTCAAAGTAAGCTATTTTGTTGACTTATACAATTTGGTTTCAGGTTCATTTAATTCAAAATCATGCGTCAACTTTATTGTTGCGACATCCTTCCCTCGTTAAGAAATTTATTTAAAATTTTTAGAATAACATTTCTGATATAAAATATACACATGGAGTAACTCGTAAGATGTCACGGGTACGGAAAATAAATTCGTGGCTGTGGTCTATTTTTCTTCTGTATACAGCGACAGTTTTATCCAACATTTTATGAACATTTAATTATATCTCAACCTCAATATGTGTGCTACTATTTCAGTCACACCCTGGTCATGCTCCAACCAAAGGCACTGACCATTTATTTGCATTTCGTTCCAAAAGCCGTCTCTGTGATGAAGTTAGTAACATTGATTTTATTGCTTTGGTATGTATAAAGACTTGGATAATTCTTATAAACGAAACAAATTTTATTTATCTGTTCTGATAGGATATATTAATCGTACAGTTGCAACGGCGTACTTTGTGGAAGAGTCATTTTAGTGATCCAAAACCCTGCATCATATTTCATGTTCTAGTGGTTGCCTATCTCGATTGCAATTTTGACGATCTTCATCAAACACTTATCTGGATATTGCAGTTTTCTGGTCAGTCGTAATTTATCACTACTTTATAATCAATCATCGTTTTTAACTTTGTAACAAACGACAGTGACACTCAGCAAGCGGGTTATGAAGTTGTTCTTCAGCATCAAAATGTTTGGTCTATTGCTTTTGTAACAGCTAACATCTGGTTCTGTTTGAAACTCGCGTTGAAAGCGGTAAATGTATTCTGAGACTGAACGAGTTGGTGACATGGTAATTCAGGTCACCCGCCATAACGACTAGATAGCTAGATCGATTCGACTACATTTTAAAGGTGCTCAGTTCACATCGCTCTTACGGGGGGCACGCTGTAGATCTGTGGATTTTCAAAATCCCAGTGCAATATTTTATAATATTTTTTTATGAAATCACCTCAAGTAGGTTCTTTGACCCTCTTATCTCATTCAGTGCTGTAGATGGCAGCATATAGTTAAATTATCTGCTAACAAACTAGACATTTCCCTTAAGGTGCACCTAGAATGCAAGTTGTACTCTTACATTACAAGTGTCACGTACTCTTTACACGTGATGAATAATACAAACGCGTATTTCGCGTCCGAGTTTTATGAACGGTCTTTAATTTTAGGTTAGGTTCCAGTACCTTGTCATCTTCATCGCTGTCGTCCCCGTCGAAAGCCGTCCGGCCTGTTACTCCCAGGAGGAGGGCGCAGACCGCAACGTTGCTCCAAACATTTCCTCGACGTAATATAGTAGTCATGACAACCAGCAGTGATGCCTACTTGTGGCAGTCTTCTGTTTGTGTTCGAACTCATTCTAATAACTACCTTTCTCCCTCCGCTCGTTTCTCTCACACAAAAGTTTAAAGTTACACACCATTTCATAGGAATGCACTATATAGGCTATAATTAATATGACTAAATTTTACAGTTTGTTGTTCACATCCAAAACGGAACCACTTACACTTTCATAATGCCTTACTGGTCTCTAAATTGAATTGATAATTCGATAAGTGCCCTTCTCAACCAGTAATAGTAATAAGAGTATATTTCCACTTTTATGATTCGTTCCTAACGGTGTCTCAGCCGTCCTTGAAATGTTTCATGTTTTTGTATGATGTTAATTATTAACATAGTTTTACGTACTGCTCCGTACGTCTCGGGTGGTTTCAGAATCCGTTTCGTGCATTAAAAATTCGTCATTCACGATACTTCTGCGAGATATGGACTCGGAACGCTTTCACAGTGTGCGATGCCCGTCCAAGCGTCTTGTCAATGCTTACTTATGTAATGTTTTGGTGAATTAAAATGGCTTTATCTACTTCCTAATAAATTTCCTGAAATTTTTAGTCTAGGTTGGCACCTCTACAATTGTTCGAACTATGCATTTGATAAGTAATTGACTTAATCTAGAGGTCTGGGGTTCCATTGTCTGTGCGGGGAGTTAGCTACATTGATATAAATTTTTGTGATTTCTCTGATTATGTAAGTGCAAACTCGAGCTTAGTGCTTTAAAAATTCCTAGAATCGCTTACTTCCACACGTGTGTCCACTCACAACCTCACAGCCATCCTCAAATTCGATGTTGCATTACCAATGAATATGAGATGGCGGTGTTACATAAAATAAGAAACAAATGAGTCAAATGTGTTTTTTAACTATTTTCGGAGTTGGGAAGTTTGTGCAGATTTCAGATTTTAATAACTTCGTGTACAAATAGCTAATTGTTAAATGACCATCTACATCAGATTTCCGTTTAGTCCAGAGGGCCTCTTCAAAAACTATCACGAAACGTTACTTTCAGTATGAAGCTAACCGAGTGAACGTACGTGCTGTGAAAAATTAATCTGTTACGTTCAAACTTGGTGTATCTTGAACTAGTGAGTCTAGAGTAATTTTCTTGGCACTTTCTTTTCAGATTAAAAGTAGTCGGAAATTCATTCAAGTTTCCTCAAACTCTTCTCTCTCGACTTCGGACTGTCGACTAATAGGTAATGATGAAACTAGGGAAGCTGTTTCCATTAAACTCGAAACGGAAGCTTACGGCAAACCTTGAAGCCATTCTCGCCAGCTCCTACCCGATAGTAATATCAGTATTACAGGACGTAATTTGATTAATTTTTAATCAAAGAAGTGACTGATTAGTCAACCGAACATGTCACAGTGTTTGCATAATCGTGTTAATTACCCTGCAAAATGCCGAAGGTTCGTTATAGAGAAAATAAAGTGTAGAAAGACCAACGAATAGGCTACTTCAAGTGTGTTTTACTATTTTGTATACCATTTTCAAGTTCATGTTCATTTTGTGTACTGGAATAGCTGATTTATTGTACTTATTACGTTAGAGTACTTATTATAAAAAAGACATACACGCGTGTGTGTGGTTTTATTTGGGCTTATGTTTATATGTTTTTATTTTCGTTTATAGTTCGCAAAGGGATAGACTACTTTGCACCAAACTTGACATGTTTATTCATAGAGACCAGGAAGCGTACGTAAGGGATTCAATACTTAGGAAAATGTGTCCTGAGTTTGAGTCCAGGTAAAAGCTTTTCCTCTAGCTGGAAACTAAGCACGCAGAAATAATGGCACCAAGAACCAAGCTGTTTGTTTTGAAGAAGACACTGCAGAAACAAAGGACAAAATAAAGAAGCTGTTCTTGTTTCGATTCACGGTAAATATGGTCCCTGTAGTTTTATAACTAAGCGCAATAGA